CACATCTAGATGTGTATAAGAGACAGGTAATATAATATATAAAATAATATAATATAACAATATAATATAATATTTATATGTATACATATATACCGAAGTATGAGCGCGTAAAAGAAATTATTAGAATTGAATAGAATCTGTCTCTTATACACATCTAGATGTGTATAAGAGACAGGTAATATAATATATAAAATAATATAATATAACAATATAATATAATATTTATATGTATACATATATACCGAAGTATGAGCGCGTAAAAGAAATTATTAGAATTGAATAGAATCTGTCTCTTATACACATCTAGATGTGTATAAGAGACAGGTAATATAATATATAAAATAATATAATATAACAATATAATATAATATTTATATGTATACATATATACCGAAGTATGAGCGCGTAAAAGAAATTATTAGAATTGAATAGAATCTGTCTCTTATACACATCTAGATGTGTATAAGAGACAGGTAATATAATATATAAAATAATATAATATAACAATATAATATAATATTTATATGTATACATATATACCGAAGTATGAGCGCGTAAAAGAAATTATTAGAATTGAATAGAATCTGTCTCTTATACACATCTAGATGTGTATAAGAGACAGGTAATATAATATATAAAATAATATAATATAACAATATAATATAATATTTATATGTATACATATATACCGAAGTATGAGCGCGTAAAAGAAATTATTAGAATTGAATAGAATCTGTCTCTTATACACATCTAGATGTGTATAAGAGACAGGTAATATAATATATAAAATAATATAATATAACAATATAATATAATATTTATATGTATACATATATACCGAAGTATGAGCGCGTAAAAGAAATTATTAGAATTGAATAGAATCTGTCTCTTATACACATCTAGATGTGTATAAGAGACAGGTAATATAATATATAAAATAATATAATATAACAATATAATATAATATTTATATGTATACATATATACCGAAGTATGAGCGCGTAAAAGAAATTATTAGAATTGAATAGAATATTAGAAATATTACATATAATAATGTAATATAATATAATATATAAAATAATATAATATAACAATATAATATAATAATATAATATAAATAATATTATATTTATAAGTATACATATATACCGAAGTATGAGCGCGTAAAAGAAATTATTAGAATTGAATAGAATATTAGAAATATTACATATAATAATGTAATATAATATAACAATATAATATAATATTTATATGTATACATATATACCGAAGTATGAGAGCGAAAAAGAAATTATTAGAATTTGCCAAAAGATTCGCGGTCTACTTATGTACAGTCGATGCGGAAAATGGAAAAAGAATTTATGACTAAAAAAGATCTCTCGATAATTGTTCGTCGCGATGTCCGCGGACCGTTCGATAAAATTCAGAGTGGAACGCCGAAGGGCGGCGGTGCTCGCGTTTTCCCGGGGGATCGAATTCTTACGGAGTTCCCGAGAAAGGAAAGTTTCCGACGTACGTCTCATTCGCGAAGAAATGCGAGGGCCGACGTACAGATTTGATGAACGATCGTTCCGCTGTAGGCCTTCAGGAATTCAACGATCTTCTTTCTTGTACACGAATGCTTCGTCCGCAGCCGATATATCTCGAGACGCTTGCGTTTCGAGTCGCCGGGTTATGGGAATTGCGCTCGCGAATTGATTCTGATTACACGTTACGACCGATTTGATCGTGTACTATGTTCCGAGGGGATGTTATAGTAGCAGATGGATGTCGGATAATTCGTAAATATTATTCGAGTCACGGAGAGTCGCGTATAAGCGAAGATTGATTGCCGAGAGTGGTGATTTTAGTATCGGGTTCGGCCACGTTCGGTCGTGCCGCCTTAACCCTTTGCTTTACATTAAGGCTGCGTCGTAAGTAACGTCGTTCTCTGATGCTTGTACACAATTTTATTCCTCCACTTGACATTCGGTACAGATCATTTTCACGATGCGATTATTACTTGTTGATACGTAGACCGAATTAGTACGCGGATTGTGTGATAGTTAATGGTGATAGCAATGTAATATATTGCTAATATATTACTATGTGATAGCAATTTTCACGATTTTATTTTCACGATGTTATTATTACTTGTCGATATATAGACCGAATTAGTACGCGGATTGTGTGATAGTTAATGGTGATAGCAATATAATATATTGCTAATATATTACTATGTGATAGCAATTTTCACGATTTTATTTTCACGATGTTATTATTACTTGTCGATACGTAGACCGAATTAGTACGCGGATTGTGTGATAGTTAATGGTGATAGTAATGTAATATATTGCTAATATATTATTAAGTGATAACAATTTTCACGATTTTATTTTCACGATGCGATTATTACATGTCGACATGTAGACTGAATTAGTACGTGAATTGTGTGATAGTTAATAGTGATAGCAATATAATATATTGCTAATATATTACTATGTGATAGCAATTTTCACGATTTTATTTTCACGATGCGATTATTACATGTCGACATGTAGACTGAATTAGTACGTGAATTGTGTGATAGTTAATAGTGATAGCAATATAATATATTGCTAATATATTACTATGTGATAGCAATCTAAGATAAAACGACATTATTCATGAGTAGCAACGAATAGAAAAATTGATGAAAAAGTCGTCTTATTTTCTACGATAACAATTAAAATGTTCGAAAATGAGTGTCCAAAGAAACTTTCTTCGACAAAAATAATTATTAGAAATGGTAGCGAAGCTTTCCGAAAGTTTATACACCGAATTTCATTTAAAACAAAGAAGCATAATATTGTAAAAGAATACAAACATTGTATTAGATATATTCAAATTTACTCGACCATTTAATTGTGTACGACGAGTATATACTAGTCATAGAGAAATGGTCATTTTATCAAGAATTTATTAAGAGAAGAAATATATTTATATTTGACTCCTGTGCCTTGCTATTTGCAGAGTTAATACCATAACTCCGGATAAACGCGTGACAGACAATATCTGCGGAACACGTTCAACTGTATCCGAAAAGATCGGTCAATCCGGCCACCGTGTGTATAAAATCTGTTTTCCCTTGGAATTGATCAGAGAGCTCGGCAGACTTCCGTGACCGTAAGAAACATATCACTGGCGGCGTGTGACAATAACGTAATGCTTCGGCAACCTTCTCTTTCCACGTACAGCCGAACAAAAGTCGTCGTCGCGTGTCATAAGCGTGTAACACGCACACGCCTCTCGCTCCCTTTCTGTATTTAATACCATTAGGCGCCGAGTGCGCACAAAACACGAGTTCGGGTTATAAATAACTTTGAAAGTGAGCCGGCGAAAAATAAAGAAAGCGAGCAAATCCCTGTAGGAATGATCCCGAAAGGAAGAAAAGAGGGTTGGGCGCGGCGCGACGTTGGAAAAGCAGACCGAAGGAGAATTAATGCTAGGGGTTAGAGAGAGAGAGAGAGAGAGAGAGAGAGAGAGAGAGAGAGAGAGAGAGACAAAAAGAGAGAGGGTGGCAATGAAGTCACTGGCGCAAACGAGCCACCGAAATCGGCTGGCCCGAGACGAACTTCGCGCTCTGCAAAATAGTAAAAAGATCCGATGGGGGAAGGAAGAGAGGGTGGGCTTGGAACTTACGCAGACGTGGCTCACAGGTCATTGCACTTGCATTCAGAGGCACGCATTCAGCCGCGTGCACCTTTCTGACTGTGTGCGTATGTACATATGTACAGTCGCTCAAAGTGACACGCAATGCCGCACTGTGCGCTAAAATCGTCGAAACGCGGGCAAAATACACATCGTTGTTATTCGTACACTATTCAACACTTTGACGGCCATTGTCGCCTGCACGTGACTTTGCAAATATTTCGATTTGTAAAAATCGATTCGACGCTGGTTTTTTTTTTCTTCAAGAATGCGTCATAATTATATTGTGAAGAAAATTTATTCTATTTGTATTATTCGTAAAATATATAACTTTTTTTCACGAGTACTTTCTCGTCCCTAATTTCTCACATATTTCTTCATTTCTTACTTGTACCCTTTCTATTTATTATAATCTTATTTTTTTATATAGTCATTACTCTCTATTATTTTCTCCATTTTTCACATCATTTAATTATCTTGATCGCTTCTTTTATCTTCTATTTTTATTTGAACTTCAACAAAAAATGTTAAAAAAGTAATCGATGTCGCGTAACTTTTTGGCGCGGCCATCGAAGTGTTAAATATAAAATAAACTAATTTATGGGTTTTTCGTGTCGTAGAATGCAATTTTGATAACGATTTTTATGTGCAATATTGAGTTATCTAGAAAGTAATTTCGTTCTTCCGCGAGAAAATAAGAGACGAGTAATCTATATATTAGTAATCTATAAATTTCTATAAATTTCGACATTTTTCTGATAGCTTTGAAATTTGATGCTCGTAGAAATCCTGTTTTTTATTATCAAAACGCTGATTCAATTGCTTCTTTTACACTCTTACAAAACGAAATTACTTTCCGAACTACCTAATTGTACAATCAGTTCTGCAAGCAATTTCAGACACAATCTTAAACGATGAATTAGAAAAACGAACGTTTTACATAAAATTGATTGTCATCGGACCGAGGATTTTGTGCATTCGTGTCGAAAGTGAGTATGTAAAATATGCATAGTACACTGAAGACATTTGATTTCAGTCTTTTGCAATTATTGCAGGCAGCTTTTATTTTGCATAAAGATCCACAGTCTACCCATCATATACACAATTAATTCCTCTACCATCCTTTCTCAATAAATAAAATTTTGTTTCATAAATTATTCACTCATAAATTCCGTTGTTACATAATTACATGCAAATTCATAATTCTCCTATAATAAATGAATGTAAAAATTATACATCCATGTCGTCGCTATGTCTATGTTACCACTCGAAGGGTTAAAATCTAATAGCGTTTCAATGTGCCCCAACTAAAAGAGTCGTTTGAATTACAGACGGACTGGACCGCGCTCATCACATCCTGCTGCAGTGGGCCAAGCACGCAGGTTCGAAGGACAACATCACCTTGGTTGTGGTCTTGTTATCCCCAGCCAGCGAGATCACAGCCAGATCCCGGAAGACCCGTCTGTACAATCCGTTCTACAGCGTGCGAGTGCATGATATACTAGAGAAAATGAACTCGAAGGACAAACCGCTGTTCCTGGACATCGACGACGCGCACAACGCGATCAACTCGAACATCCTGAAGCAGACGATGCTTTCGCAGGAGCCGCGTGACCACGGCGACGACGACATCCTGGCGGCGAGCAACGGGAAACACGAGAACGGGGACGCGGACTACGACTATTCGGACCTGGGCCCGGAGACCGACGTCGACGCGATCGACGACGTGCCCACCATGCCCGTGAAGAATCTATCCTACGAATTTTACAAAGACGACGACTCGAACCCGGACGAGGATCGCCGCGACAAGGACTCGAACGTCCTCGACAACGTGGCCATCAACGCGCCGGAGATCAATCCGAAGTACCAGCCGGATGCCGAGAACAATCTGCACGAGGACGAGGACGACGAGGACGACGAGGAGGACGAGGACGACGACGATGAGAATGACAAGGTCTTCGGCGAATTCGGCGCGACCCAAACGGTCCAGAAAGTAACACCCGAACTGATCCGCGAGGATAATTTCGCGGCCCTCCGCGACGCGGTTCGCGAACAGATCGAAGAAAGTGTCGACGACGAGGAGATGCCGATGAAGAACGACGAGGACAGAGCGGACGACGAGGCCCAAGATCACGTTAACGAACCGGGCTCCGTTGACTTCGACGACTCCCCGCCCTCGCCGCAAGCTAACAGTAAGTGGCAACCAACAATTCTGTCGCGATACTACAAATCCGTGCCGAAATGGATCGTCAGGTGCACGGTCTTCCTCGGGAGGATCGCTTTTTACGGTTTTATCATGATGTACGATTTTTCGAGGTACTGAGCAACTTCGGCAGCAGAGATCGAATAGGGTGGTCCCCGTTTCTCCATACTTTTTGGTCTTGGCACCCGGAGCTTGTATGTTCAGCGACGAAATGATGCGTGCGATATTTGGAAGCAATTGGACGACGAGGACGCGGGCTGAGTTGCAGTAAAAGTTTAGAAATTTTTATGATTTCATGCTGTTTTCGGAGATACGGTAATGTCTCCCTTACTGACGCTCAGATTGTCCACTAAATTGGATAATTTGGGAAGAGGAGATACGATTATTCGAGCCTTGCGGATTGTTTTTATAATTGCGGGCAATTTATAACTATAAAAGTAAACCGCAAGGCTCGAATAATCGTATCTCCTCTTCCCAAATTGTCCATTTTTGTGCGCAATCTGGGCGTCAATTAGAGAGACATTACTGTAACTCTGTATTACATATACCGTATTTCCTTGTTTCAGAAATATTGTGAAACGTTTTTCGCTAAGAGACAATGCCTTACTCATCAGTGACTTTGCCTCTTATTCAGAATCGTTTTACAATATTTCTAAAATAACAAAATAGAATTATGTTTGAAAATGGTACGAAGTCACTGAAACTTTTAAACTTTGCTTGTAAATATCGCACGTATTAGTTTGTTGCGCACACAAGTGTCACAAGTTAGGGGGTTGAGACCGAAGCAATCTTCAGAAAGAATTGTTGAACGCTATAGCAAAGGACCAGCCTATCGAACAGTCGCTTTTCTCAGGCAGAAAATATGTATTAACTATCCGACGGGCATTCGAGATTCGCTTTTTCTTTAACGTCGGGGAAATTCAATTGGCTAGAGTTTCTCCTAGCTGATGGTACAATCGAGAGGAAGACGAATCCGAGGGAGAGCGAGGTTTGGAGACACAGGGCATTGGCCTGGTTCCATGAGAGCAACGAAATTACGCTTACACAGGGCATTCTGCAAGAGGATGGTTCTCTGTCGCCATCCAAGTATCTTCTTCTTCTATTTGCCCTCAAGCGTTGCCATCAGAGACAATTTATGATGTTTCCGTGGCCCGGAGCATTCGTCAAAAGAATCGACATGATATATATTCTGTGCTACGTGTTTCTTATTGCTAGTTTGTAGAATCATATTTTTCTAAAGTTGTGAAGATTGTTTTTATTAGTTCATTGAACAAATCTAAGGGAAATAAAATGTACGGGTTGTATGCTCGGTAAAGCTTTATGGCAGTTCTTCCTTTATAATTAAGTGTATTTCAACTGTATAAACGTTAAAGCAGAGAACTATAAAAAACGCATAAATTTTAATGACAAGGTTTTAGTGCCAAAATATTGTAGGCTTTACGAAAACAGAAACCCCTAAAAGTCCGATAGCATAAGTTAGCTGTACATTTTGGTATAGTGAGAAAAGGCGAGTTTGGTACAAGTGCCTCGGGCCTATAAACATCGATGTACGGCCCTAGATGTATAGATTGAGTGATTTCTTCTAAATTCGTTTTATTTTTAAAGTAATGTATCTTCCAAATCTTGCTTTTAAGGTTAGTTAATAACTCTTTATGTTTGCTACTTGCATAATAAATTATTTAATTATTTAAATTATTTAATATAATAAATATTTTATGCTATAGGTAATAGTTTATATATTGAGCGATAGATTTTCCACGTTCCCATAAAAATAGTAATATAAATATGTAGTATAACTTCTTTACTGCGAGTAACAACTGCAGTAATCGAATTTTAAATTTCGTCCTTGCCTCAAAAAATATTATACAAACATAGACTTCGAATTTTGAAATTTGTATTTAACTATCTAATTGACACATATCAATATTGTGTAAGCTGTTATATGAATTTAAATTTCGTCTGTATTAGCGGTACGATGGCACACGTTTGAATTTCGCGCCTATCTACGTCGCGTGATATTGTAGCTACATTCACGGACCACTACTACCGCGCGCTTGCGCACCAAAAGTTTCTTCTCGAGAAAACCTGCTGTTCCGCCTTTACGCGAGTTCTCTGTGTTGTTAGCTACAAGGATTAATTTCCGTCTGTTTTTTCACTGAAACGTTTCTTTATCGCTAATCCACTCCATCCGGTGTCAACAGATAAAGGGGTAAATATCCTTTCTTTAGTCTTCGTGTTGTGTAGAAAGATCGGAATCGAAAGGCAACATACTAGAATTCAAATATGACCGTTGCGGAACCAATAGCAGAACTATCGGCTGATCAATAGGCGCGTATTTTAAATAAGATCCTTACCTGCTCTTCTAAAGTGTAACGGTTGGGCACGAACGGACAGTCTGTCACAAAAGTTTTCGTACACCTGTAGATTACCGAATATTTAAGAGAAATAAACGGAAATTCTGAATGCTCAACTAATGAATATTATTCGTTCATTGTAATTCATTTATTAGATAAAATTAAACAGTGATGTTGCTTTTCTATTTCACAAAGAAATATAAACGAACTGAATAGAGAAACTGCTGAAAATTGAAAACATGTTAAAATGGATAATATTTATTGCTACAGTAACGATAACGATTGCAACAAATTTCTCAATCTTTCAACTTAAAAGATTTTGCGAATTTAGAACAGGACGTAATGATGTTTAGCAACGGAATTAAATTGTTATACTATAGAATATAAAATCATCGAACAAATAAACCGTTCCATCAAAAAAGAAAATTTATTCGAAAAAATTCTCTAATGAATCAATTTTTTAATGTAATAATAAAAAATAACTAATTTTGTCTCTATTACTCTATGTAAAACTTAAGATCACGCTTTATCTAGGAAGTTACGGCACATACAAGAAATGTGAAGGTCGAAAATGACGGTTTTCACAGACAGTCCCCCCCGTTCTCTTTTTTTACTTTTCTCGTCCCAGAAGAATGCTCTCCTTCTCGATTGTACATTCCAGGTAGAAATGCGAATGCTTTCGGCGCTATAATCAGCCTTGAATTACTAATGTAGTATTAGCATAGGTCCGACCAATTTGAAACTGAAACTTACTAAAACCTTTTATACGCTCAATGAAATAGAAATTGACATCGATATCGGCGTGACCGGTCTTTCTTTTATATCGATTTATAACGAAACTTAAGGCACGAGTAGTCTCGTTATTCGATTTCTGTGTTAGCCGTGCCATTGCTTGGCGATCAGTTTATTTTGAAGTTGCTTCATTGCGAAAAATCGTTATCGAGTATAATCAGCAACATCGATACAGAATAAGGTAAAAAGAAAAAAACCAACGAAGGGCCCTGTGCTACTATCGAAAATCGAAAAGAGGACGCAACAAGGATCCGGGAATTAAAGCCGTATCTTGTATCTGAAATTTCGCGGGTAAGGCAACCAGTTAATTTTCTGATAACACCATAAAATCCCGTGGCATTACCGTGCTTGCTCGCGCCAAGAGGTCGGATCACGGTGATTCGAAGGAACCGGTTGGAAGGAGAATCGATACGGTCGAATATTTTCGACCGGTGTTGCACGAAACTGTGCTGTGCTTGCACTCCGATCGCGAACAATCCGAAAATGTACGCCCGGAGCCTTCGCTTCGATTACGAAAATCGTCGTTGAATAACACTTTATTTCTGATTATGACTTTTTGATGACTAACGGTTTAGTAATCGTCGAAGCTATATTTAAGAACAGTTATAGGAAAGGAAGGAATCGATATAGCAGAGAAGTTGATTTGACAATGATTCGTCTTCGGTACAACAATAAGATTGATCGATGTAATAAATAATTTTCATGCTCTACCATAAAATGGCAAGAATATTTGAAAACTATATATCGTTGCTTTAAAAGTACTATTTTGAACCCTCTTAAAAAGTTAGAGATTACGTATTTTTAAATTTATGTAAATTACTGAAAAATTATAGGATTATGTGATAGATCACTCAGTACATCTTCTAAAAATTTTCTGGACAAGTCACGATTTGACAACGAAATAGCCTTTTTTTTATTAAACAATACTTCGTAACGCTTGCACGTAATATCTGGACAAATGCTTCTAATCGGGAACGAAGTTTGTTCCTTTAAAATTAGTTTAGAAGTTCGTTCACGATATGATTATAGACTCTCCCGAAACAGCCTGGACGGCGTGACTTTTTCGAATTTCCACATTCTTCTTCTGTTCCCCACACACGTGGAGTACCGGAAATAGCTTCTACCCTCCTGTAGTACCGACTGTCTCGACGCGTTTAGCCACCTCTTATCCTTCTACTCCAAACTTCTCCGCGCAGAACGTTTGTACAGCGACGAAATTACATTCTGCGTGAAATTAATACCGTGCACAACACCCGGGAACTTTTTCGAGGATACAACGTGGCAATCAAGTCCACGGTTTCGTTGGTCTCCGCTGATAAAATACCGATGGGCTGACAACAGTTCTGAACAATTTTAATATGAACATTCGTGTAAGAATATTTTTAAATATATCATATTATTCTGATAGATAATATTTTTATAATACGGAGATGTCTTTTGTGGATTAAAGATGAATACTTCGGTAAAGAATAGCTAAGAATGAATAGCGTCCTTAGGATAGGTTTGTAACGACGAATCTTTTAATAGAAACAAACAAAACAAAATAAGAAATTAAATGGAGATCTACGGTCTACTAATAAGTGTAATTGTTATTGAGAAGTATTGAAGGAACGTGTCCACAAATTATAAATAGTTTATCATCAGAATAGAATCGGTTGAAGAAAGTATTATAGTTGAAACAATTTTTAAAAACTTTATGTAAATCTTCTATGTGTGTGATATCCTACGATGAACGTTATTTTTTCGAAAATGTTCCCCGAATACTATGAACTTCTCTTCTATCCTACTTTCTTATTCTACAATCAGTCGTACACTCCATTTTGAACGCGCACAAGTAAACGCAGCGACGGCGATTAGCTCGTTTAAATGCAGCGAGCGACAGTATTACTTTATTTTCTTTGCAGCCGAATAAGGAATACGAATGATTGCGAACGCGTGTCGTTAAAACGGTTGTTACCGCGTCACTCGAATACCCCATTAGCGCCAAATTTCGTATCTCGACTTAAGATGGCCGACCGACGGCATCCGAGTTGTCCGTCGAAGCATTTCTCTTCGAAACGCGAAAATAAACATCGAAACTCGTTAAATCCGGGACACGGCCTTGAAACATATTCTTAAAGAAGGATGAAAGTATTTCTGGTTGCACGTTCACGGACAATCGTTTCTAGCACCGTGCACGAGAAACGGAAAAATGTCCGCGAAAAATCTCGACGTCTCGCAACGTCGATTTCGCCGTATTCGGTGCTGCCACCGGGTGTAGAAGAAGCGTTTTAAGGTCCCCGAGACTCTGGGATGCATTGCCGATGTCGTTTTGTGCTTGGCGCGAACGGTTTCGGCGTATTTGCCGATACAAAGGCTGCTACACATAATGTATGTACCTGCTATCTTTATAAATATGGATGTCAAACGTGGGACGTCCGAACTCTTACACGTTCTTTATATCGTTCTGGTACCTGGCCCACTTTCCGCTGCACTTCGGCTTTCACCACCTCGTGCCAGTCACTGCACTTCCTGCACTGATTGTCATCCGCCTCGCAAATCTGCCAGCCTTCTTCCTAGACCGCACTCTTTCTTGTCCCTTCTCGTGCCTATTCTGCATCGAACTTTTCTGGCCGATTTATTGGAATGTTCTTTCCTATTCCAGTCCGGTTAGGCTCCACGGTCCGCCTAAGAGGCAACGGCGCTAGAACTATACACTTGTGTTGCACTTATTGTGCGAGGAATGAGTCATCCAGATTAGATCATGGTCTTTCAGCGTAGTTTAACTAGAACGTAGTCTGGCACAAGAAAGTAAAGCGCCGAAAATGTGCAGCGTAACGTTCGTTAAACCTTGAAAAGACGAGCGACAGCCAGCTCAGTTAGTCATTTGTTTTCGATGCTTTTTATTCGAGAACCATATTTTCATGATTCTCCGACTCTAATTCTGGAAGTTATTATAGTCTTTGAATACTGTCGAGGGAGATGATATATTTTTTACATTTTGTAGTATTCTGGGAGTTCTGACGGTCATACTTGTCTCAGCAAAATCATAACCTTGTCGGTTTTAATTAAGATTTTTCATGTTTAATCATTAGAGATGTTGCCAATCACTGATGTTCGTTTTTTATAGTATTTCTGGTTTGATTATTCTTACCCAAATGACACTAGAATGATCAGTTTAAAATGTGCACAAAAGTCATCGTTCATTTTATCTTTCGTTCACCGAAAGTCCTATTAAAATAGGAGAAAGATTATTATGACGTTCACGAAATATAATTTTGACAAATAGTATAATAAAAATGAATTTTAATATAACAGGATGTTATTTGTGACGAAGGGTGATTTATTTCGAAAAAAAACTATTATGTAGTTATGAAATCCATCCATTACATTGTTCCGACTGCAAATTACATCAGTCCTGTTTCTATGAATCATTATTTCCGGTTCGTTCTTGTATACGTAAAAATGGATGATGTTTTAAAGTTTCTCGAGTATTACGTCCATATTTCATTGACAAGATAATATCTCGATCTTTAAGATCACTGTACTTAACAGATTGCTTCATTTCTATTTATATTAACACGTTAGATACACAATTGCTGGGGACTATCTGTACGTTTATTGATCAGATTAGTAAGTACAATTTGCAAGATGTTATATAAATTATTTGGTATATAACTATGAAAAACGTTTTTGTAATACTCTAATACCCAATAT